TAAACCCTAAACCCTAGCCCGTAAACCCTAAACCCTAGCCCGTAAACCCTAAACCCTCGCCCGTAAACCCTAAACCCTTGGCCGCAAACCCTAAACCCTAGGCCCTGCGCACAAGGCGCGAGGCGCCTTGATCAGCTCAGCAGCACGCAGGCAGACCCCATACCCTAAACCCTAAACCCTAAACCCTAAACCCTAAACCCTAAATCTAAACCCTAGAGCCCGCAACGCGCAGCCCTGCACCAAACCCTAGCCGTTGCAGCAGCTAAACCCTCTGCGAGCGAACCCCTGGCCCTTGCTGCGCCGCAGGCCGGCAGCCCCCGTGCGCCTAGGGTTTAGGGTTTAGGGTTTAGGGTTTAGGGTTTAGGGTTTGGGTACGCGTGGCTGCGGGAGGCCTGGGGGGCCCCCCTCAGGGCTGCGTTGGCCTTTTCTACACTTTGCTGAAAAGTCCTCAAGTCTATATCTTGGGGCCTCCCGCCCCCCGAGGGGGGCCCCCCCCCCACAAGCTGCTGCCCCCGCACCCAGCTGCGGGGGCCCCCGCTGCTGCTGCTGCTGCTGCTGCTGCTGCTGCTGCGGGGCCTCGAGATCGTCGCGCAGGCCTCCTCCAGCACTTCCACCCTGCATGCGCCATGCAGCCCCAAGCAGATTAGGGTTTAGGGTTTAGGGTTTAGGGTTTAGGGTTTAGGGTAGCAAGTGTTGGCAGCAGCAATTGAACTGCTTCGAGTTTAATTGTGTCCCCCAATTCGAAATAAAGCTGCTGCTGCTGCTGCTGCTGCTGCTGCTGCTGCAGACCTACGTAGCAGCAAACGGCGAGTGCAGCCACACTGCGGGGGCCTCTGCCTTCTCCAGCGCGTTGACGCTTTCCAGCACTTTGCACACAGTCTCCTCGTGCGCCTGCAGCAGCAGCAGCAGCAGCAGCAGCAGCGGCAATGGCAGCTCCCTTGAGCAGCAGCAACGGCCACAAAGGCAGCAGCGCCAGCAGCAGCAGCGCCTGCAGCCCCTCCCAAAACAGCCCTCCCCAGATCCGCGAGCCCGGCGCAGCAGCAGCAGCAGCAGCAGCAGCAGCAGCAGCAGCAGCAGCAGCAGCAGCAGCAGCAGCAGCAGCAGCAGCAGCAGCAGCA